GAAATTGTTAATCAGGATTCCACGGCGTTGCTATGAAGGAAGCTATTAAAGGTGTTTTAGAGAGAAAAAATTACCACCATATATTTTAAAGAATTTGGTTGGTTCCGTAAAGTATAGGTGTGTTCCGAATAACAGGATTGCGATCCTAATGCTAATGCTGTGTTACAACAGCGGAAGTCACATGATTCTGCTAGCGCATGCATGATTGAGTTTCTCGAATTATCGGGGAAGCTCGAGTGTGATCGAGACGCCTCTTTGTTAGTATATAAGCCTGGCGAAAAAAGCCAGCGGTATTCATTCTCTCGCTAGCTATCGACCCTGATACATGCCAGTGTGCTGTCCGTCTCACCCTACGTCGCCATTAATCATCGATGGACTACCACTCGCCGCGGGACACGGCTAACTTCATCCGCCACTATAAGCCTCAAGCCCGAGTATTCCCTGAATGCACCCGACGTCTATGAATAAGAGGTATACACCTCCAACCCTTAAGTCACTCGAAGACTTCCGCTACCTTCGCCACCCTTGGTCTTCAAACACTCCCGTTACTTGCTGACCCCCCAAAAACAATGCCAGACTCCACACAATATTTCTCAGGAACGTTCATTTATCCTTTACGCTAGAGGAAATTCATCAAGGACTTGAATTTACAACCAACTCTACAATCCACCGTATCCTGTCAAAGAAAACAGGTTCACCCACCTCGTTCATAAAAGTTGTCACAACTTCCAAAACAACAGCAGATTTCATCCTCACCCACGGCTGCTACCTTGATTATCACCATTTTAAGGCAGAAAAACCCTACCGTAAGCCTCACAAACCCCATACCTTTCCTAACCCACCTCCAAGCCCACGTTTCTCAACACTCAAAAGAAAACCACCGTCAACCAGTACTCTACCACCCATCCTATTATAACAGACCAAGCTACTCAAACCTCACCCACTTCTGAATCACAAGACATGTCAACCCAAACCACCACTACTAGGAGAAAAAAAGGCACCCAGACCCAGCCGCAAGTCTTCACAGTTACCAACGCCAATAAAAAACACAACAACCCACCTCCCAGCCCCAAGCCACTTTCCACATCATCGTCGTCAATCTCACCAAACGCCCTAGTAATTGACACCCCCGACCTCTACCTACCTGACGAACCTTTCTGTGCCTTCTGCCCACTCACCAACGACACAGAGTACTCCACGCCTTTACCACCTGCCTGGAACCGGAACCTGTTCCACAATAAAACCATGGCGAAAATCAGGAGACTCCACAACACATTCAAAAGCTAATCAACCCCCAGTACCGGACTTCACTTTGCCTTTCCTACTTACTTCTTCTGACTAACTGGGCACTGGTAACGAATTGGTCGTTACCAGTGAAAGTGGGTTTTCTCGGGGTACTCCCGTTTCCCCCACATTAAATTCTCGGCATAGGATTTTTAGATCCCCGCCGCCCTGATGGACCATCAGTCCGATATAGGCCGTTTAGTTTATTTCGGTCTTCACTTTTTATTGTTTACCATTACTCTCACGTTTACCTTTTAAATTTACATACGTTGTCTGCATTAATTTCCCGTTTTCTCAAGTTAAGCCCATATTCCTAGGAGGATTGTTTAATGTTCGAGCACCCTAGATGAGTAATTATTTCTTCGGAAATAATCATTTTAAAATATAAATAACTGCCAGAAACGAACGAACCAGCGGGATTGAATGTATGATAAAGCAAACAGTAGTCACGGTGAGTTTCGGGCTAGTGTGTGTTTTGCACTCGTAGAGAGCGAAG